GAATAATAATGAACTAGCACCTCATGGTGCCAAAACATTCAGATGTTTTCCCAGGAGCAAGTCTGTAGTGGAAAGAATCATTCAGATTAACCACAATGATACTATTAAATCTTCTGCCTTTATGTGAACCAAGTACTAACGGACAAAAAACCTTGGAATTCTTAATGTCATTCAGCCTGTGAAATGTTTTGTACTCTTTTAAGGCTTCATCACTTCTCTGATCCCCTTCCAAAGGCAAATCAAACTATGTAATTTTCAGTTCATCTTTATCATGCAGTCTGTGGGTCGGGCACCTCTTGCCTCTCTGTAGTCTTACTGTTTCAAAAATCTTTCCATCTGCTTCAGGAATGGAACACAGAAAAAGAAAAATAATTCCTTAAACTATATGTAGCTATAAAGGCTTTATTGTCTTATTCTGTACATTAATTCATTATTCATAAGTGATACATTGCTCATATTCCCAGACAAAACCTACCACCTCTGCCCAAATCAACATACACCTGAGGTGCCCAAACTCACTTGCAGAAAAGGAAGGATGATAGAAATGCAAAGTGCATCACCATCAGCTGGCAGCACAGTTGGCTTTTCACAACAAAGCCGTGATCTAATAGGCCTTGCTCTGTGCCAAAGCACAGTGGCCATTTAGTAGAGAATGCAAGAGACCCCATCAACCTGTAATTGTGCATGTCAATCTTTTTCCTTCATAGAAAAATGATTGTACTTTACAGACAAGTGGATTTCTTCCAGAAGTTCTGCAAGGATTCTTCCAGGTCAATACCCACTCTCTATGGACTACAGCAAGGATTTAGAGTGTGGGATGGTTATGACAGTCACATTTATATTTAGATGGTGAGTGTCAGATAAGCAAAACCATGCATTGAAGATTACACAAACACAGTGATATGAGTAACATGGGCACCATGATAGATGCACAGGGATTTTCAGAGTTTCTCAGGGAATATTAAGTGTTCTCATTTAACAAAGAATAAAACCAACTCAATGACTGCCATCTACTTTCATGGTCTCTGCTGCTCCTTTCCAGTGTCTATGTCCTAAACTTGGTAAGAAGTCAGGAATGAATTTGCAATGGGTTGCTGATACTAAAGCCAAGTTCATTACATTCCATACACAAATTAAACATTATTAATCTGGAAGTTTTTACACATCTGCCCTTACCATCTCCTTGTTGTCAGTTAGGATCTAAGAAGGTATGCTGTAATTGTGAGCAATTATTTTCATTCTTAATTTGCCCCTTATGTCCAAAATGGTTTCTTCCTTTTTTTGGTGAATGGAGGCAGTAACAATTTTTCTTAGTTTGCAGAAACAACCACTCTAAGTAAAATGATAAATTTTCCTGTCATTTGTCCTGTAGTGCAGAATAAAATCCTTGGGAGATATTCTTGTACTTGATGACGCAAGTCTATCCAATTTCTTCTACCATTTAGGTCAGGTCATTTACTTAAGTAATCTGCAGTGGAATGGGATGTGTTCGGAGAAAGGAATTTAGTTTATGACCAAAGTGGCCAGCAATTGTCTAGACTGTGAAATTACCTTCAATGCTAGGGAAAAAAGTTACTTCTTAAAAAAAAAAAAAAAAAAAAAAAGACAAAATGAAACTATTTATAACTAACTGCCATCAGGAAGTGACTGTTTTGAAGACTGTGATTGATGTCCTGATAGCTACAGGAGTGTCTGAACAGGCATCAGCCATAAAACAGCAACATTTTCTGTGGTACATGCAATTAGTAGTTTTACCTTCTATAGCGAATCCCTTCCTCCAGGAGGGAAAAAAAGCATTGAAGGGCAGTGTTAGAATGAAAATCATATTTAGTAACATGCTGAAAACTCTAAGGTAAACCAGACTGCGAAAGGTGGAACCAGTTTTAAGCAGCTCATCTCAATTATACACATGGCTGGGCTGTTTATCACGTCAATTTATTCCCTTACTTTGAGACACTTCTCAGATTACAGGCCCACACTTCTTATCCAACTCTCCAAAGCAAAGAAGAAAGGCAGCAAAGCCATTTGCTCCTATAACCAAAGAGAAGACAGGACTCCTCACTGCCGAACCCAGGCACTGGCAGCTGTGGACCCCACAGGGAAGGGCCAGGTGCCTCCCTAGGGCTACACCTGTGAAGGGAGGGGTAAAATTAGGGAGGGGAACATCTCAGAGGCAACAACTCCATCTTCTTCCTCACACCAGGGTCTATCACCATTATCTGGAGTACTATCTCAAAGCCTGATGGAAGGCAGAGGCCTGGAGAAAGGGCAGTCTCTATCATTTCCCCGTTTCTTTTTCCGTATTTCCCATTAGTGAGGGAAGAAAGGCCTAAAAATGTTACTGTAACTGTTTCCCATCTGTTCTCTGTGGCCCCTTGACAAAAGCCCATCAAAATCCTCCAGCCTCTGGGCGCCCGAAGCCCTCGCCCCTTGAAGACGCGGAAGGCCAAACTAAAGCACAGAGATAAATGATAACAATAATAACATCTCAGGGAGGAGGCCTCGTTTCGGGGCAGGTTTCAGGACCCAAGGGTGACTCAGCCCCGCCGGGCGGGGCGCGCAGCCACCCGAGGCAGTTTGGGCGCCGCCGCGCCCCGTAGGCCGAGCCGTGCGCCGCGCCGGGGAAGGGGCGGCGCCGGGAATCGGTCGCTCCCGGCGGGGCTCGGTTCGTCCCGCG